CTTGATAATTGGTTGGTCCGGTTAGACCATCCCGGATCTTGATGTGAAAAAAGTTCTTTGAGAATTCATGAGAACATCATATGAGAAGTCAAAGAACTCTTCAAATAAAAGAGTTATTATGGCATGTTTGTTCTCAAGGAGAATAGAACAATTGATCATCGCTTGTATAAGAGTTGACAAATCTCTTGAGATTTTATGAACGTGTATGCAGAACAATACATCACTCATGTGGATCATTTGTGAATTTTATGGCTTGCTGCATCAAATGGATGCTCACTTTTATTTTATCTAATCGCAACCCGATATTTGCGAGATTGATTGCCTCACTGTGGATACATTTTGATGGTTATCCAATCAAACATCACTTTTCTTAAGAGAACAAACTGAGCCTTCTGGTATCTTGTCGAGGACATGCTAGCTGACAAGTGATAGTATTGGTTCACATCTAACCAACAAGTTATCATAAGTTCCCCCTTTTTACAAATGGTTTTGGTAAAAAACCTAACATTTCTCATATGAGAATATCAGGGTGTGCCGCATACATCCCAATTGCTCCACCACAGTATCTTAAGTTGATTCTCGTTGGAAATTGAGAATTTGTGTTGGGTATGAATCCCTAATGGGAAATTTGTTTGCGAAATTATTGTTTTGATGAATCACTTTTCCAACATTAAGGGGGAGAAAAAAAACAGCTAGACAAAGAGATGAGTTGGAATGAGTTATCATTATCTAGTTTTGATCCTCAAAGTAAGAAACATGAACCTGAAGTTCATAAGATGAATTATCATTACCAACTATCAAATGCCTTTACTGGCCATACGAAGTGACCAAGTCACATATACTAGCTGTGAATGCTCCAACTAAATTTGATATCCTTGTTGGATACTCTAATATAAAAAAAATGTGTATGAAAGAGCGCATGAAGCGTGATAGACCAATCGGTTCCAATGATAAATATCCTCGAGAAAGAAAAGGAGTTGTAATTAGAATGGTCAACTCGAGGACATGAAAACTCAAGAAGAGTAACCAAGAATTAAGTATAATTTTAGTTCCAGAAGAACACATGTCTCTAAAAGTTGTGAAAGGGAAGAGATCTCAAAAACACATTAGACTACAATACTGGAACCGAAATGAAGTCATTGTCGACGAAATTTGTTTGTAGTACTTCAGTACTGAATATGATATATTCAAGTGAGGATCAAGAGTAAAAATCTATTGATGCATGCAAATGATGTTATTGGCCAATATAGAAAGAAATCATGAAACTTGCTCAAGGAGCATAAAGTTTAAGGACCAGAAGTCCTTGCACCTAAAAAAGGGCAAAAATAGCGGGATACAAACAAATTTTTATGCTATTGGAAAGTATGAAATTGTGAGATATATCACATAATGTTTTGCAATGGGTTTCTCGAAGAGACCTATCATTGTTTAAGAGGAGTTATACTCCCCTGTGGTGGATGCAACTACTTTTTCAAATCAATGTTTGAAAATTGTTGTGATAGCCTATTTGTTTGAATTCCCTGAAGATGTTATATATATTTGAAACTCCCAGAAGGATTAATTACTCCTAGAAGGATTAATTTACCTGAAGTAAACAAGTAAAGTTCTCGAGAACATATATCGATAGACTAAGAAACCCCCTTGTGTGGGTTGAGACAATATAGACGAAGGTGAAATACTCGTCTAAGTGAACACCTACAACAGTAGGGTGAATGGACGTTAAAAGGTTAAATCCGGATAGAGTCATTAGAGCATTTTCATTGTGCATATACAGTTGTGTTGTCTGTATGTGCTTCAAGGATTTTAAATTCTTGATTTATAAGTTGTGATTCACTTTAAAGTATGAGTTGTGTTTTATGAGTGTGCTTTGTCTAGTTCATATGTTTCTATGATGTGTGTTTTGTTAATATCTTTCATGATATGAAAGAATTGCTTGCTTCAATTTGTTTTAGTCAAGTTTTTTTTTTTTTTTTTGTGACGATCTCATATTATGTTGATGATATGAGTATTATTGGAGCTCCTGAAGAGCTTCCTAAAGATGTTGATTGCTTAGAGACATAAGTTAAATTGAAGAATTTAAGATTCTTTTTATGGGCAAGGAAGGTAATGTTGAAAAAGTGGGAAAGTAATTTTGCATGAACGAATTGTGTTCATCAAATAACATTAGGATCCTAAGATCACTAGAAGTGACCAAAGATCCATTATGAAATCAAGAAAGAAGTAAAACATTAGGTCCTGAAGTACCATATGTTGATGCATCAGAGCACCAATGCACCTTGCTATCCAAGCACCATATAAACTATCATTTTGGTATTGATAATATTAGCAAGATACAATGTTTCCCTCGTTGGAACGTTGGAAAATACTTAGTTACCTCCGGGAACAATATGTGTGATTGTTCTATTATGGTATTATCAAAGAGATATTTGGTGAACTCTATATTCATATCCTATAATACCATTTGATCCTCATATTGGTTGATCGGAGACGAGCTATCTCGTACATATGGTGATATAACTGTTACATATAGAAACAAAACAAACTATAAAAGACAAGTCCTGAATGTATTTCGTTACACTTTGTGATCTACTATATCTAAAGGACTTGTGGTTATGAACTATTTCCAAAGGAAATGATCCTGACGATCATGTATGAAGAAAATCTAAAGATCATGCATCAAATTGACAATCCCGAAGGTTGTTCACTAACTCACTCCCGACAACAATCTTTCTAAAAGTTGTTCATGAAATTTGAGTTCAATGACTCAATAATCTGAAGTGATGTGGTCATGAGGGGGAGCATATACGCACTGCACTCTTTTTCCCTTAACCATGGTTTTTCCCAATGGGTTTTCCTGGTAAGGTTTTTAACGAGGCAGTATGATATAGCGTAATGCAATCTAGTGGTCATCCAAGGGGGAGTATTATGTAAATATTGATATATGGATGACCATTGCCATTACCACATTAGATGCTCACTTGGGAGTTACATGTAACCCCTATTCCTACATTATTATCTCTCATTCATATGCATTGATATAAGGATGTAGTGGTTACCAAAGTGTGCCTATAAATAGAGCATATTATTGTATCAAAAGTGAAGAATGAATAAGAAGAACTCTTCCCCTCTCTTCTCTTGTGTATTTCTCTCTCTAATCTTCTCTTGTAGTTGTTTGTATTTTCCATTAGTTTCATAACACACTTCTAATAGTTTTTCATCCAAAAATTTAATTGAATTTTTTTAAACGTATTTCTCTAAAATTTTCAGCCAGACAACGAAAAATTGATTCTGCAAAAATATTAGTATATTATAGAATAGCCAAACTAGTCCGATGTAAGTCGGTTGATGAGATGACTTCACAAATGTCTTACTCAAGCAATGAAGCAATTCACTGTCCCTTCAATTAACAAATTACTCTCTCCCGCTTAATTTAAGCTACATGTGTTTGAACTTTGAACATATCAAGTACTTGTAACTTTGAATAACTTGCAAGTACTGTTGGAGAGAGGAAATGTGTGGGGCTAAGTATTCTGGTGCTATAGACGGATCACACATAATCTAGTTTCCACTAGTCGACAATGCCCAAAACTTAATCAAAGAGGGCTAGCTAGTGACTAATTATGATGTGAGGTTAGAGTTTCTTTCTTCTACCCATTTTTTCTATTGTAGGGTTGAGCTCTGCCTTTCCTTCACCGGTCTTCATCCTTTTTTTTTTATAGAGGTCTTCGTCCTTTTTAATACACTAAACTACATTTTTGCTTTGGTGTAACTGTGTAAGACATTAATGCACAGGATCCTAGATAATCCACAATCACTGCTGTTTGAGTGGGTTTAAGTAGGGAGTTGCTAATTGTCGCTCTAACTTTATTATAATCGCCCTAAATTATAAGTTATTATTACCTTCTTACTTAGCTTACCGATTCGTGGAGCGGGAGCGAGAGCGAAAACGAGAGCGTGAGAGCGTCTATTATTACAGAATTGTAAATTCAAAGCGTTGACAGAGTGTTAATATTATATTATTTTAATTAAAATATTATTTTAAATAATACCTAATTTTGACAAAATACTCCCACTACACATAGAAAATGAGACTAATTTAAAGTTCTATGGATACAACCTACGTCAATGTCTTTAATTATCCAAAACTGAAAAGGTGAAACCAAATAAAAAACTCAAAACAAAAATTCTAAATTCCCCTACTTAATAATTAACACCCACAACAGCACACCCACAGGCCACAACAAGCTAAGCACAGCCCACAAAAAGTTTGCGGATAATTAAAATTTTGTATGGGCCAACCAAAGTCTATTGAGCCCAAATTTGGTTGCCTTCCAAAACCCTAAATGAGCAATCTACCCTCAACTCTGAAGCTGCCGACTCTATCCTCTGCTCTCTTCTTCCTCGTATCAGCAGCATCTACCTCTCTCTATCCCACTTCTCCAAATCTTCACTCAGCTTACCTCACATCTTGTCGATATGCACCTTCTTCCCATCGACAAATCCCCCATGTCTCATAAAACTTCCCATTCTTGAAAACCCAAGCGAGCTCCATAGACTCCCTACATGCAATCCTTAATTCAGACTCCAATTTCTTGTGCCGACAATAAGCCATCGCCTCAAAGTTCAAGATCTCCCCCAATCACTTGATTCTCTTCTAGATGGAGAGACTTGGGCATGTTTTCAGCTTTCTCCATCAACCAACCATCGATTCCTTCTCCTTCATCAAATCAATTGTCATCACCATCGACCGTTTCTATTCTCCTCTTATTCTATGAATTAAGTTCACGAATTTCTCACGAAAATTCGCGCTCCAACAAACAAAAATTCGCGAATTTTGTTCGAATTTCCTTAAATTCGCGTTTACCGCCGTTTGTGTGACCTAACTTCTTACCCTCTATTAAAAAATATACCATTATTGCCATTAGACACTGTATTTGATTCCCACCACCGCACTCGCACTCCCCGCCGTCGCATCGTCCTCTCTCTTCATCTTTCGCCATTTGTACTGGCAAAGGGAAAATCTCAACACGTTCGAGTTTACGCTCAAGTACCCAATTGGTCACATGGTACCTGAAGAAGCCGCCGGGATCGAGTCCGGCAGCAGCCGCCCCGGCCACCGTGCGGCGTCCTCCGTCACGCTGAAGCACGTCTACTTGATCGCCAAGGTGAAGCAGTCGGATCCTTACTGCCAGCACATGTCGCTCGAGTCCATTTGTATGTCCGCATCGGTACGGCCAACACCATGGGGATTAAGGTCGTCAAGGAATTGAAACAAGATGAAAAAATCAGAGATCTGTGTTCTTCAATTTTGGCAAGAATCTATTTTTTTTATAGAGGCAAGAATTTGTTTTGGAGGAGAAGTCAGCCACGTTGGAGGTGTATTATGAATTTTAGAGATTTTTTTAATTCGAATCAATTAAAGGAAGGATAGTTTAGTAATATTATTTGATTTTTTCCCTCAAATAAAAGTGCGTTTCCTAAACAAGATACTCTATATCTTTTGTTCTCTTCATTATTGTGATGGATGTGTTACATTATGGATATGATGTTAAGCTCCTCACTATCTACTTCATGATATAAGGGAAAATGTTTGAACTCAACTTGGATAGCTGGACACACCTGCATTTTGTCCAAAAACTGTCCTAATTTTTTGCGGAGCGACTCATCGAAAGATAGGGTAGACGCAACAATGCAAGAACAAGAACCCTCGAAAGAGAGGAGGGAGAAGGAGTGCGGGGGGCAGAATGATGGATGTCGGAGCAGCGTGGAGGAATGTAAGAGCGTTTTTTTCCTGATTCTGCTCTCTTCTTCTCGGCGTTCTGAAATTAATATTATTTAAGAAAAAATATATGCAAATTGTTGATTTGGGGGACGCATCGTGTCCGCATCCGCATCAGATTCTCTCCCGCCATCCGTACTCCCTCCCCGGCCCCGGCCATTTCCGCCATTTCCGGATTTCGCGCTTCACTGTTCCAATTACCCGACACCAACTGTTCTCCTTATTCCCCCCGCCCCTACATCACCGCCGTTGATCTCCCCCATCCAACGGTCCCCATTCTCTGGTCTCGTTAAGACAAAATTGGAACTCAAAGAGGACACTGATAGGAATAGGATAGGGTCACTGCTGGGTTTTGGTTTTTGGAGTAGTCAAAGATTGATCCATCTGTTTTGCTTCCCCATGCCATGCTCTGCTGCAATTTCCTCCCTCTCTGTCTTTCGTAAGTCTCCTTCTTTGCTTCCCCATGCCATGCTCTGCTGCAATTAATCGTTGGTTAAGGTTTGGTTGGTGCTATTAAGAAAAAACAAAAAAAATTACTATATTCAATCTGGCCATAGGAAATACATACGCGTGAAATGATCCAATGACATCAATAAACATTCTAGCTAAATTCATCAACCATCCAAGAAACTATATGTTTCTTTCCCCAATTTTTGTTTTAAGAAACTATGATTATAAGAATATTATTTTGGATTTTGCTACGGGTGACATGGACTTTTCGGTCGACCTAACACTACAAGAAAACTTGGATTTAGAGACAGAGATGTTATTTGTTTTGGAATGACATTTATTTGACTCTATATATCTTTTGAAACAGATACATTATTTGCATCAGACGCCTCTGTCTCTAATTCCTTTTAGACTCAAACATAGGAGCAAATAATATATGCTACTAATAAAGCATTTGGAGGCAAATATATTTGATGGTAATTCTACTTTTACAAGTCAATTTTGTGCATAGTTATTTACTTTTAAATAACTTTTAGGGAGAGATACATTTGTTTCTAATTTAGTTTTTGAGAGGCATATAACTCTTCTTAAATAACATAAAATATCTCCCTCTAATTAATATATTTTGAAGCAAATAATGTTTTTGGTATTTGTACTTTTAGATATAGATAATCACCTTGCATAATTACCTAAATTTATTTGATAGACACGATTCATTTTCATAAAATTATAAATATTTTATTAAAAAAATTAAATACATAAAATAAATACATTATTCTCAAATTACATAAAATTCGTATACATCAAATTGAATACATTGCTTTTACATTCTTAAGTATAATAAAAATACATAAAAGATGTAGCCTAACGATTGTGGGCTATCAAGCGCAGCTTCTCTTCCCCATTAACAAGGTGAGTAGCTTTTCCACTGTTTCCTCCGTGACCGTTACCGCACTTGAGACTCTTCTGCTCATCTACTTGTAGCCATCAAGCATCAGCATTACCAGGAGTAAATGAAATCACGATAGCTGGTGATTTCATATGCCGAATCCATTGCTTAAAAAGAGAAAAACATCGCTCCTGCAAATATCAAAGAAGCTTACAAAGCAAATGCGTTAACCCATTATCCCACTAACTATGTTCAACCACTAAAAGACCTCAAATTGATACAAAGCAAACTCCCTTACATAGTAAATGCCGAATCCACAATAGAGTAATTTTGGAGCATTTCTTAACTATAACAATGTAGTAAAGTAAATAACACCGAGAATTTACAAGGTACATCTTTGGTTTAGGGCCAACTCACAGAAACAATAATTTTGGAGCATTTCTTAACTATAACAATAGCAGGTTAAAAAGATTTTCTAGAAACGAGAAAATAGAACATACGGTGGTTCCTTAACAGCTTCACTATTTTCATTCCTCCTATCTACCAATGGTTATGGAAACGTTACACAACCAAAACCCACAAAAGAATACGAACAACAACAGAGCGAGAAAATGAAGGAAGGGAGAATGGAAGGAGGAATGAGAGATTTTGAGGATACTATATATGTCTTTTCTATATTACTAAATATGCATGCTTACTTGCACTTCCCTCCAAGAGCATATAGCACTCTAAATGTATGGTGTGAAAAATTAGTAAAATGTATCTCATAAGACATGACTCCAAAAATAGCCAGGAAAATAACAAAGATGTGGGAAAGCTCCATAGCAATTCATACTCGCTGGCCAATGAGATTATGGATTAGAAGATGATTTTTTACATATTTGGTGCACGAAAACTATTAATTACATAATTTATGAAGTCTTTGTGTTTGAAATGAAAAAGAACAACGAGAAAAAAGACAAAAGAATGTAACATATCCTTTAGTTAATTACGAGGCCACTTCCACCCTCTTAAGGGGGAATGAGAGATTACTTCGTGGCCTTCCTATACGAGCTAGAGCGAGAAAGAAATGAGTAACAATGCAAAACCAAATACGGACAAATATGTCAACTTCAACAAAGCAACAAAAAATACGCTTAATGAATGGTAACACATATTTTGGGATTTTTTTGTGGCTTTTTTATTTGAAATTGAGCGAGAGTTATGACTAAAGATGTAAAATCAAATACGAACAATTAGATGAGGAAGAGTGCAAAACTGAATAGGAACAAATAGGTTTGTTACAACACAACAAAAAATACGCTTCATAATGATAACACATGTTAGGGGATTTCTTCATGGCTTTCTTATTAGAGATCGAGCGAGTGAGATAACTAAAGATATAAAATCAAATACGAACAAATAGAACGGTTTAATTATCACAATAACAACATATACACTTAATCAATAGTAATACTTTTTTTTTTCTAGTAACACATATTAGGAGATATGAGTAAAAGAAAAAAAGAAGAAAAGAAAGAACTAAAAAAATAAAAGTGAAGAGACAATTAGAAGGGCCCACATGATAAATGTCCTTAAAGTTATGGTTATTTACTTGCAACACAATGAGATCGATGGTGCCGGCACGCTCACAAATTTCAACAGCATCATCGTATTGCAGATTAGCAATAAAACCATGGGGAAGCCTATATATTGGACTGTAAGTTTTGGCACTAAGTAGTGAAAAAGAATCGAAATTACATGATGTAGTATTCGTTGGATGCATGAGCAGTACTTACTTATTGAATTGAGGTAGGCCCGCCATATTGAATGCAATTCGCTCGGTGAATGGAACCAAAGTGTTTTGTATGGGAAGTAGTAAACGGAAATTGTAACAGGAGAGAAAGTGGTATCTCCATTATATAAAGGAGAGAAAGTGATTCTGATTCACTTGGCCGCATGCAGTGGACTACGTGTGTGTGGAAAGTGGGAGAGTGGAGTAGCATTTGTGGCCTCGTGGGGGAGTGGAGAAGGATCCGCCGAAAAGGTAGAGTAGGTTGGCCATTTAGAGTTCAAGGGGCGACTGGGCATTCCCAAAACCCTCCCTAACTATATTTTATTAAACTGAACCATGCTTAAAGTATCATTAATTAATTAATCTCGAGTCACTACTGAATAAATTTAAATCATTTTATATAGCTTAATTTATAAAATAATAATTGTTGGTAAATGAGAAGAAAATCTCGCAAATCAAGTGTGATAATAGAAAAATAATACCCAGAGAATGAAAGGGGTTGACACTTTCTAATTGCCTATTTTCTTCTCGGTTATAGAAATCCAGAACAAAACAAATAGGGATGAGAAAGCAGGGTTGTTGAGGCCATGGTTGAACACAACGGGCTGGGTTGGCAGATAGGTAAGTAGGTTTGTGGGCTCCAAATTGTTAGGAAATAATCATTCTCAAATACGTGGGTTGTTCATTAGGCCCAATACAGTTTGAGACAGTTGTGATGGGCCTTTATGTAATGCTACTATGGTTGTCATGCGGGCGGCATGCCACCTGGTTGAACCTGGTTCAAACTGCGCCAGTCATAAAACCAGCATGACATCACCGGTATGACCAGTCTGATCGAATTATGCATTCTAAGCAAAGTGATATCATAATGAATGTAATTAATAAAAAAATAATTTTGTTTTTCATTTTGTGAATGTAATAGTTAAAAGTTGATGATATTTGTTAGATTGTAACTAAATTCTCCAAAAATATGTTTCATATACACATAATTCACATTGGATCATAACCAGGACTAAAAAAAATAATCAAGTGCATAACACAATCCCGACAATATTTCCTGGTTCATATGCGCATAAGTTCTTACACCCTATCTGCTTAACTACCATCTTGTAAAACAGAAGCAAACCAATCCAAATAAATAAGTGATTCTCCATTATAAACAAAGCTGAGGAAATCAATTACAGCTAATCTCTTGCACACTGGGTGCTTTAAAACCAAACCGTGAAACTAAAAGGCTAAGCTCCAACAATCTGATCATCACAAATAACAGTAAAAAAGTACGGTGGAAGTAGTAAATAGAGCCGAATGATGAGAAATGCCTAGCCAACCACTTCCTATTAAATGTTTGAGTGTGGTTGATATTTAGGAACACGGACCA